GACAACATAAGAACATGGACTGGCTTGGATATGGCAGAATGTGCAACGGCAGCTCGTGACCGTAAAGGATGGAGGGTCATCACACGTCAACCTCAGAGTCAGAGATGACACCTCCGGGTATTGCAGAAGATATTCGGAGACGTCTCCGGCGAGCACCCAGGAACAATTTGGAGACGCATTTCCGCGCACAGATGCACTGCTTTGAGAGGTCAAACTGCGTACTCTTTGCTGCAGATCACACATTTTTATTATAGCCGCTAAAACTGTAGCAAATCAATTATTTTCAAGAAAATTTCGAACTTAACTGCAAAATATCAAATGATGGGTTAAAACAGGGGCATGCCACCATGTAATACCCAGACTTTTAAAATTGGACTTGAGGCACAAAGAATGTTGATTGGACTATCTCCGTCGTAGCCGTCTCTGAATAGATATTGCGTCCAGGTATCCAGGTATCCAGGTATCTGGAACATCCATTTGGTGATGATCCGTGCTTCGTTCTATTTGACTATTCAACTTTGAGGCTACAAATAGCAAAGTGCCATAGCTTTTACTTCTAGATAAACTAAGATATGCAGATCTAACTTTTTTATACGAAGAAAGCACAACATATAAACTGCATTACTATACATGTAATAAAACTTGACTGGGGGGGGGGGTGCAGTTCCACAAATAAATGCATGAAAATAGGTTTTATCTGCTTTTGCATTTAACATTCACAAACTTTGAAATCGTATCTCTCAAAAGTATCAAAAATGCAGATAGAACACTCGTAATTCCATGAAGAGTTTGAGGAAACTTGTTTATCGTTCCACATTTTCCATTTTTGAATTTCATAGTATCCGTTTTCGTCCTACCCGTTTTCGTCCTATGTTAATTTGATTACGTATAGGCAATTGCCACTCCCGATTTCAAAATGGTTTCGCATTGCGCGCAGATAAATCAGAGTTTATAATTACATTTACAAGGAGGTGGAAGTAATATTCTGTGATGGATGAAAATTTGTCGTAGAAGTTTGCAGAATATGTCTCTGACAAAACAGTTTCGATAAAAATTATTAGAAAAAATCTCTCGTTGTTAACAATCTTTACATATCATATTGTGAAAGTCCATCTCTTTGGCCGCCTAAAACTTCCGAACCACTTAACTTTCGAATTTGACAAAATTAGTGGTGGTTCAGAATCATTTAAAGGGTGCACAGTTTTATTGAGGAGCCTGAAGTCACTGTTGTTTTATTTTCAGCTTTCCATTAGTTTCGTGTATATCTAATTTTGGGAAAAGTCCGTCTTCTAGGACGCCATTGTAAACACGTGAGACTTCCCTTCAGATGCAGA